CGGGGCGGGGATCGTCGCGACGGGCGCGCGGGGCGATCGCGTCGGCACCGCGCCGGCATCGCGATCGCGCGGGACGGACGAGGAATTCGCGCGGTGGCGACGCGCGCGGTGGTGCGGTGGCGACGGTGGAGGCGCGAAACGACGTGGGAATTTCGATATGTTCGCCGCGTGCACCGAACGTGCGTCGGATCGCGACGCGCGGGGGATGGCGCGCGAATCGATCGATGCGACGATCGAAACGATCGCGCGGGCGATGACGACGACAGCGGCGAGCTCGTCGTCGACGTCGTTTTTAGGACGCGATGCGGAGTGGCCGGCGATGGAGGGCGCGTCGTTGATCAACAGAGCGATCTTTCAAGCGCCCGCGCCGTCGTACACGGCGCGGAGGCACCCGTGGAGTCCGGCGCATTTGGTCGCGGTGCGCTCGGGGAAGGATTACGACTTCCCGTGCGTGTGGGTTCCGTGTCGACGAACTGCGGCGGAACGGGTGGTGATACACTGTCACGCGAATGCGTGTGATATCGGGCACATACATTCGTTGTGCGCTCGAGACGCGGAGTGTTGGAGGGCGCACGTGTTGTTGGTGGAGTATCCGGGGTACGGCGCGGCGAGCGGGACGGCGTACGAGAGATCGGTCGATCGACACGTCGCGGCGGCGTATGCGTACGTCACGGAAGAGTGTGGGTACAAGCCAAAGGATGTGTTCGTTCTCGGGCGATCGCTCGGGTCGGGACCGGCGACGAAACTCGCGGCGGCGGTGGAGAGTTTGTACGGGAAGGAACTCGGTGGCGTCATCCTCCACTCGCCCTTCACCAGCGTCAAGGAGGTGGGTTTGTTCCTGCTGGGGAATATTGCGCACGTGATGACGGATAGATGGGATAATCGAGAGTGGGTGCAGAGGTACAAGGCGAAGACGCTCATCGTGCACGCGGTCGAGGATGAGGTTGTGCCGTTTGAGCACGCCAAAATTCTCGAGGAAAAGCGCCGCGAGCTCAATTTACACTGTAGATTGCACTCCACGCACGGCACGCACAACTATTTCTCGTACTATCGAGACTATTTGCAGCCGATCCTGGATTTCATCGAGTCCACGGTGAAACCCGGAGGTGTTCCGTATAAGGTGGCGCCGCTGCCCGATCCGATTCCGCGCGCCGGCTTTTCCGAGGCGCAAGTGCGGAACATCATGTCACTCGTCAAGGCTCAAGCACCACCCGGGGATTCTGAGCAAGATTCCGTGGGATTACGATTCTACGGTATGGTGGACGCCATGGGCGAGACCATATCTCCCAGAGAAGGCGGATCTCTGGACTCCAAGAAGGGTTTCGCCCGCTTTGGCTCAAACTCCAGTCTCAGCGCGGCGGGTTCGGCGGCGACGACCCCGCAGAATAAAAGATCTATCTCGCCCAACAGCACCATCGACGGAAACACGGACGTGCAAGAGGTCACTCCTGAAGATGTGATGATATTGACGCCCGGAGGCTCGAAACCAAGGTTTCTTCACGCTTGATCAAAACCGGAGCGTTAAATTTTGTACCACAGCGCGCGAAACGTACCCATCGTTGTATAACATATCTGCTTTGCTTAACATCGACTAAAATTAATTCACGCGATCAATCGTAAGAGCTGTCCAGAGAGTTGGAACGACTTCCCGGTCTCCTCGAGGCACCGATCCTTCTCCTCTCTCGTCCACTGCTCGGCGGTTTCGTTCAACAGGTTCCGCACGCGCGTGAGCGAAGCCTCCAAACCGCCGTTCTTCTTCCATTCGTAAAATTCCAACTCCTTCCCGTCGAGGATCAATTCGCTCACCTTACGTCCGATCATCCTCCCTCCCGCGCTGTGCGCGAAGTACACGTTGTAATAGTGACAGATGAACTCGGGCGGCGACGTCTTCGCCAGCGCCTTCAGGGTCTCCGCGTACTCCCTCCCAGCCCCCGAGGCGTCTCTTTTCGACAACCCGAACCTCCGCTCGATGTACTCGATGTCTTTTCGCAGCGCGTCGCTTCGTTCGAGTCCGTTATCCTTAAACTTCCCGTACACTCCGCTCGCATCCGTCTCCACGATCGTCTCCATCGCCTCGTACACCGCCAGGCTCTCCGTCAAGAAATTCAAATATCCCTCCCCCGTGGGCGTCCACGTCGCCACCGGCCGCGTCTCCGCCTTGGACGCGTCCGCGCGCTTCCCGCCCTCCCTCGGCGCTTGCTCTCGCGTGTGCAGGGACATGGCGACCCGACGCATCTCTTCGACGAAACCTTTTTGTTCGCCCACCGCGGCGCCGTGGCCGTGGCCGTGGCCGTGCGCGGCGCGCGCGCGGACGTCGCGGACGCGCGAGACGCGAGGCGCGGTTCCCGAGCGCGCGGTGACGCGACTAGGGGCGGCGGTCGGACGGGCGAGGACGGCCATGGCGAGCGATAAAATGACGTCATCGGGCTGGGGGCGTCCCGCCCGCGCGTCCGAGCGAAGGCGAAGAGGACGGAGCGAGACCGGTGATGAATGATTAAAGTTTGACAATCTCGTGACTAATAAATGTGTGGGGTGGGGAAATGCGGGGATGGGAGGGGCGGGAGGGGCGATTAGCGTCGATTGGCGCCGCGGAATCCGCCGCCGCGGTCGCCTCGATCAAAGTCGCCTTCTCTTCGGCGTCTGAGAAAGGTTTGGCGACGCTCGTCGCGCTCGTCGATGACGCGGAAGAGCCGACTGACGGCGTGAATGATGTCCTCGCTCGCGTCTGGGAGCGGTTTTCGGGGGTTCATCACCTTGAGCGCGAGTGCGGCGTCGATCTCTCGGCGGACGTCGGTGAGGAGGTCCGCGGTGTCGGCGCACGAGGAGTGGATGACGATCCAATCATCGAGCATCAAACGCGGGCCGACGCGGCGAGGATCGTCGTCCTCAGCGATCGGATTACCGCTCGCATCCAAAAGAGCGCCCTCGGACTCGGGCGATTCGTCGCCGTCGGCGCCAGTGAAGTCACGTTTCTGCAACGCGTGCCCGCCCAGGAGCATGAGCTGCTCGGGACGCATCGCGGTGACGTCCCGAAGGAACACCTGGGAACTGAGCATCATCTCCTTGTACAGAAACCACACGGGGAGTGGTGTCCTATCGCGCGGCGGCTTGCGATGAAACGCGACGCTCGATGGGTGGAGGCCGGCGTGCTCCTCAGTGCGCGTCCGCAAGGTACCGAAATTACCGAACGGACGTCGCGAGGCAATGTTTCCGGGCAATCCCGCGGCCCAAACCGCGGTGAAGAGCGATTCATTGCTCGCGTTGAGATTCACCGAGGCATCGAAACGCAATGTTTTCTTGTTGTGTGACCTGCTGTCCAAATCGGTGTCCTGCACCAGACCAATGCGGTTGAGCTCATGCAAGAGCTGCGAGCGGACAGAAGTGATGGTGTTCAGGGCATTGATAGAGACAAAGTTATCGCTGGCCCATCGACGCGCGCTGTCCCAACCTTGTTCATACAGAATGTCTTGGAAAGTGCCGTACGCGCGAACGGTGGCAAGCAGATCAGACGTGGCGCAGAACGACTGTCTGATTTGACGCGCCTCATCGCGCATGCCCGGTGGGACGTAGAATGGATCTCTGGAGCTGAAGCACGCCGCAGCGGTGAGCACAGGATCGAGACAGCGCAAAACTGCCCCCATGATCAACATCCTACCCGTGCCCGGATCGAGGGGCAGGATAGACAGGAGTCGACCCATCGGCGTGAGGTCCTCGCCACCAGTGGTTTCGTTCGACTTGATGGCCCCGAGCTTGAGTAACCTGTCCATCGCGTACTCCACCGACTCCAACGACGGAGGATCCATCGCCTTGGATAGGAAACGTTCAATCCCTGTGTTCGTCATCGAGCACGTTTGCAAGCACGTGGCCTCGAGCGCGGTACGTTGGATCTCAGGAGTCGGTCGCTCCTCCATCGCGTGCAGAGTGCCATGAGAATAGATTCTATAGCACGACCCCGGTGCGACCCGGCCCGCTCGACCTGTTCGCTGCGTAGCGCTCGCGCGCGATGTCGTCACTGTTTCCATGCAGGACATCCCGCTCTCAGGGTTCCACGACATTTCGCGAACGAGTCCGCTATCAACCACGGCGAGGACGTCGTTGATAGTCACCGAGGACTCAGCGATGTTGGTGGCAAAAATCACCTTGACGACGCCGTCCGGGGCGGGAACGAAGACCTTTTGCTGTTCCTCCTGCGGAATCGTCGAGTGAAGAGGAATGACGTTCATCTTACCATACAGCTCCGCGTCGGTGGTGTCCTGTAGGATCTCCATTGCCGTCTTGATCTCATCCCAACCGGGCAAGAAGCACAAGATGCTTCCCTTACGTCCGGCGTCTGTCTCTATCGATGCGATGTGCTTCGCGACCTCAACCAAGAGTTGCATGGTAAGCTCGCTCACCTCTTTTGACTCATTCTGCCTGACGCGAGTATCTCCAGCTCCCTTGCGCATGGATGACTCACCCGTGCGAGCCTTTCGCATGGCGAGCGCGCGGCGAAGCTTTCGGACTCGAGACGATGCTCGCATGCGACGCGGAGACATCCCACGGACGCTATTTGCACCATCGAGTTCGACCTCCAAATCTTCCAGCTCGGAGTCGACAGCATCGTCCTCCTCTTCCTCCTGGTCCTCATCATCCTCCTCTTCATCTTCGGAAACCTCCACCTCCACTTGCTCGTCCTCCGCGGAAGATAAGCGTTCAAGCTGTTGCGCTGCAATCTCTTCTGCCTCTGCCTCTTCGAGCTCGCGTCTCAGCGAACGATCCTGCGCTGCTAGTAAATCCTTCGCTAACTTCTTCAGGTGGTTTGGAATCTCTCTGCTCGACACCGACTCGTTATCTTCGTTGAGAAGACTTTCGTCCTCGACCTCGAGCTCGCCTCCTCCGTCTAGCATGTCTTCTAGATGGAATATTTCGACCGGGTGCCGCGGCTTCGTGGGAACGCTCATCAACGGAACACCCTGTTCCAAGTCATGAGTTCCAGATCCGGTGAAGTATTCGCTAAACGACTCCGCGTCGAGCGTCGCGCTCATCAGAACCACTCGCAAATCCGGGCGGGTCGTGATCAGTTCCCGAAGGAGCACCAAGAGGAAATCCGTGTTAATATCACGCTCATGGACTTCATCAATCATGACGTGCGAGATACCGTCTAGATTTTGATCTCTCATCAATCGACGTAACAGGACACCCGTAGTAACAAACTCGATGCTTGCCGCGTCTCTGGGCGATGTGCCATGCAGACGAACCGCGAAGCCAACCGAACTCCCGACTGGTTCGTCGCGTTCGGCGGCGACGCGCTCGGCTACAGATATCGCGGCGATTCGACGCGGCTGTGTCACGACGATTCTGGTAGTTGGCCCGTTCCCAGTGGCGATGGCGTCCTCCAGAATGTACTGCGGACACTGCGTCGATTTCCCGCTTCCTGTACCACCGGAGACGACGACGACTTGCTGAGTGCGCAAAGCCTCAACGAGTTCCTCACGGATAGCTTTGATCGGAAGCGCGTCCCGAATCCGTTTCATGTCCGCTTGCGGACTGGTCTCGTCCTCAATCGCTCGGCGTAAACGCTCGGCTTCTTCGGCCGCGTATTCCTCATTCTTTGATGCGACTCGATCAGATGCGCGAGACTCGCGAGCAGCTTTCAGAATCTGCTCCGCTTTGGACGGTCCAGACTCTTTCGACGCCGATTGACGCCACTTTGACTCTTGACGAGCAGCAAACTTGGCCTCAAACGCCGCCTGCGTGGTCAAGACGTCGTCCATGCGACTGTCGTGTTCCTCCGGTGATCCCATCGCCTGAACGAGGATATCGATTCCTCTGTCCGGGAGCGGTGGAACCGACATCACCGATACGTGATTTCCCGGTGAGGCATCGATGACGCGATGAAGTTCGTCCACGCGCTCTTGACCCAGCGCCTCGGCCAGCGGTCCGGCGGCGACGTTAATGATAGCCTCGGCCTCACTCGCAGCTTTGCTCACCGCCTTCCCGCTCCCAACAAGCTTCTTCCCCCCATCCACGAGTAAACTAACATCGGTGACGAAGAACTTACCGCTCTGAGACGTTTGTAACGACGGTTTCGTCGCCCCGACCATCTCCAACACGAGTTGAGCCCGGTTCTTTCTCGCCTTCAACGTTTCCTTCTCGCGCTCCGCCATCATCTTTCGCACGTCCGGAGGATCCTGGGGCCTGATCCCGTTTTTCGTCAACTGCTCGCACAAATCTATCAGCGCCAGTGTCTCGGACTCTCGCTTTCCGAAGGCCGCTCCCGTGTTCACCATTTCCACCGCACCGCCGTCTAAACCGTTCGACTCCGCGGGCGGAGCCACAAAGACACCCGAAGGCACCGTCGTGCGTACAACGGTCACAAAAACTTGATCGTGCAACGGTCCGCTCACCGTGGTCGATATTCGCTGCTTCAGCATCATCTTCAACGACGCCGTGTGCAGAACGTTCCGAACGTTTCGTCCGTCGACTCCGAGCGCGTTCGCCAAATCTCTCGCTCGATGTCTCGTCATAATCTCCCGACCGAGCTCCCCAACCTTTGGAATCTCCGTCTTCACCTTCTGCGTCTTCGCTTTCCCCTTTGTCTGTCCCTTCTGTCCTCGTCCCGCGCTCGTCTTCCCGCCGCCTCGACCGCCGCCCCGTCCCCCCCGTCCACCGCGCCCACCGCGCCCACCGACGATCCCTCGCCCCCCCCGCCCTCCCGTGCGATCACCACCCCCTCCACGCGCGCC